TTGAGACTTGAGAGCTCTCAATTCATACGTATGGGTCTCTTTCAATATTCACAAATGAGTGAATAGTTTTGTCAGCCAAAGTTTTGGCTTCACTTCCGCCACTTGCTTAGTTTGGCCAGTTAATTGTTTGATCAGTTAACTGGTCATCAATTAACCGGTACATTTTATTGCGGACAGTCTGACTTATTCTGAAATGTATTTCGGGATTCTTGATAAAATATTCTGGAGTTAAAGTAAGGATCCGCTTCACCTTGATGATTTTTCCGTCTTCACTCGGGAGTAATATTTATTTCTTTTCAGAAATTAATATACGTCCCGAATTGTCCTGAAACTCAAAAATATACCAAAACAAGTGCAATACCTTAAAATGTCCAAGATGATAAAGATCAATCCTTTTTATTTAAAAATAAGAAATAAAGTATTAAAAGTGTGACAAAACAAGATCATAAATATGGTAAATTAGGAGTACATCATTGATCCTTTGTGCTTCTTCTAAATCCATTTGATTGAGCTAAGCAATGTAGACATTTGATGCCCAAATCCCATCCATTCTCGAATCCTGTCCCATACCCTACAAGTAAATGGACATAGAAAGAATAGGTGTGGAATTGTTTCCAATCCACCCTTACACAAGTCACATCTATTAACCATATGGAGATAACCGAGGCTATCTTGGGTAGGCAACCAGTTCCTCAAAGCCAACCAAACATTAAATGAAAGTTTCGGGGGGATATAGGATTTCCAAATGAAACTCATCGGAGTCCTAGGGATCCCTTTAACTCGTAGAAGCTCGTAAACCTTGGCGGAGGCAAGTTTGCCATCAATGCTTCTAGAGTTAAGGCCCAAAATCGTATCATTCAAATTATTAAAGCATCCACAGATTTTATCTCTAATTTGCCCCAACCTCTTCATCAATTGTGAGTCACGGCTGTGAGGGATAAAATCCCACACACTTCTCCCATGGAGATATATGCCATTAACCCACCGAACCCATAAGGTGTCTTTTTTATTATGTACATCCCATAATGTGCGAGAAAGGAGGCTATCGTTCCATATTCTAGCATTATGGATTCCTAACCCACCCTCCTCTTTTGGGAGACAAATGTCGTCCCAAGCCACCTTTGAGAACTTGCCCCCCCCCCCCCCCCATAAGAAAATCCTACAAAACGAAACAATCCTATCCAACACGGTTTGTGGCACCGGGAAGACTTGGAGCCAAAATGATTGGACCCCTTGGATTACCGATCGAATGAGCTCTATCTTACCGGCATAGGAGAGTGTCTTCGTATTCCAAGCGTTAAGAAAGTCTTTGACCGTATCTAATAACGGTGCGTATTGTGCAATCGATATTTTTAAAGGGGCAAGGGGTATTCCAAGGTATCTAACCGGAATGGGGATGCATCATTTGTGGAGTTTCGAATGCCATTCACATTGAGTGGTCTACATTATTTTGAAATAAAATGTACATAGTACGGAGTAAATGTTCACAATAGCTTCCTCAATATGCACGCTCTTATCCAATAGAAAGTTGTTGTTGGCAGCTGGATACCAACACACATAATGAGGATACATGTGCAAAAAGGAGCTGAAGCACATTATAAATAGAACTGAAAATTTGAAATCTATGAAGCATATATCTCACACACATACAATTTCATTGCTTCATCTCTTTCTGGCTAAATTTTTTAAAAGATTTTATGGAAAAATGGAGTGTGGTTGTTCCGTAATATCCATGTACGAGATGAGAAGTACTTCCCGTTCTTTAAAAGTTGCAACAGTTTGACTTTCACGTTTGCCAACGCACAACTTTGACTGTAATTACGTTTAATTACGTTTTAGTAAAATTTTAAAAAAGTTGATATTTTGAAAATTTACATTAATAGAAATTTAATAGCATTTTATACATAATTATTTGATTATATATACTATTAGAAAATCGTAGTCAAAGTAAGGTGTGTGAATAGTGCAAAAATCCTAATGTTGCAACCTTTAAGAAACGGGGTGTTAGTGAAACTTGTACCACACCAGTGTTTTGCTTTTAGTGAAACTGTTAGTGAAACTTGTACCACACCATAGTATAGTGAAACAATACTATGGATTGTTTAAGCTATTCTGGCGGTACCTTCCAACAAATACATGCAAAGAAGTAGATAAACCTTTCAAGAACATGAAAAACAATCAATTAATTTCGAGGTTAACTTATCAATAATTTTTCATGATCATCTGCCTATGGCATATATATATATGAATGAAGATATTAATTGAATACATTATAATAATGTATTTTTGCAACATATCTGGCCTCGGCCCCCGAATCGTAGTCCTCTGGACGTTCACCATCAGGGGCTACGTTCAGCTCTCCGGGGTTAGCCGCTTGGTCCGCCACCTCTAGGACCATGTTGTTCCTCTGCTCTTCGAATTCGGCACCCTCTCCGACGTCAATTGCGGCAGCATCATTTGGGAACATCATCTGCCTGTATGCTCCCCACAGTGGAGGCTGTACCGGAACTGCTGGAAACGCTAGCCTTGTCGGAGGAGCGTGGGACGGAGCCAGAACCAGAGCCGGAAGAGGAACCCGAAGAGGAACCCAACAAACTGGAGTTGGAGCTCGACGAAATCTCCATCGAAGCCGACAAAACAAAGCGAAAAAGGAAGGGAAGTCTAAGGGGTCAGATTACCTTACGAATAGCAGAGACGAACCAGGAACCTTGGCGACGAGCTGATTGCAAGGCGATGGAGATCCTAGAGCGAGAAAGCGAGAACCGAAAACCCTAAGCATCTGGGGAGTTCTGGTATTTATAAGGGGAGCACCGCTTCATAGAACCAGTAACGAGGTGACACGTGGCGAGGAGCATATCCTAGGATACGCGCCGCGCGTGGAGCGAAGGATGTAATGATGACCCTGCCTCGAGAAATGCACCGTTTCTGCGGCAGCTGTCACCTCGATTCCTGAACAGCCACCGACTAAGAGACTCCATGACGAGGAACGTCCATCTCCGGGAATGCGGCAAGCATAAGCCCCGTGCCATGAGCGTCTCACCCTTAAGAAGCACTATACTTCTTTATGTCCCACGCATGCTCAGAACATCAGAAGTGTGGGACTTGTGTTGGGTTAATGGCCCAAATAAGGGTCCGGCCCATCTCCCCCCAATCTAGACGAACGTCTATCCCAACGAGGCGGCCCACCCGGACGAACGTCCGTACAAAGATAAGTGGGTCAAGCTCACAGACAATCCAACGGCGACGAACGTCGCCTCCGGAAGCCACTAACACTTGGGGTCAGTCCAATCCATGCGACAAATCACCTAAGGGCCAGGATACGAACGACCCATTAGCCTTTGCAATATCACCAGGGGCAACTCCCTTTCCCTACTGGACGTCCGTCTCCACGGGTTAGGCGGGAAACCTGGATTCTGGCGGGAAACGCATTTAATGCTGGAGATTTGGTGGTTGAGGCATCAGCCACACATAGCCTTCCACGTCAGCATAGCCAACTGCCCATTGATAGTATAAATAACAGCATTTATTTCATTGTAAAGGGTTGACAACTTACTATTCTTAGCACTCTAGCTTATACTTCTCTTACTCGCAGCTCTTCTACTGCCTTGTAAGACGAACGGCCGACGAGCCTTGGCAAGCGTATTGTATTAGGGAGTTATTAACTGATTAATAATACCTAATCTCTTACTTGCTACTTATTGTTTCTTGATCCATCTTAACTGTTTGTTGGGCTAGTTCATTCATACCCACTACACTCGAAATCCTTGGGCTTACGTGTTGGACCCAAGGCTTGAAGGAATAAACCTCGACAATATACAAAATTCATACAACATGGCAAAAGAATGTCAAAATTACTTAACCCGAAGAAACGATCTTTAATGTATATGAAACATAGAGTGAATCATTGTCTGGTGAATATATAAACATATGAGTATACTGTTAGATTATTGGACTTATACTACATATAATATTCACAATATATTATTTATTGGGTTAATTGTATGTTATATGCTATCTTATATTTAGCCCAAAAATTAGTGGTCCTATGGATATTAATTTCTATGGATATTAATTTAAGTGGGCTAACACTACAAAAAAACAACAATTTCGGCACGGATTTGGCACGGAGCTTTGGCACGGATATGCCAAAATTCGTAGGGTATTTGGCACGGATTTGGCACGGATTTGGCACGGATGCGTGAAATCCGTGTCAAAGTCGTTTTGTCACCAGCTATTTGGCACGGCGCTATGCCAAAAATAAGTTACATTCTGTGCCAAACTCGCCCAATCCGTGCCAAGTCCGTGCCTATTTCGATGTTTTTTTGTAGTGTAATAAGTTATCTAATAAGGTATATGGCCCAAATGTGCAGAGACCCACGGGCTTAACCTAATTAATGATGGGCTGATTAGGGTTAAGCATTCTCTATAAATAGAGGGGTTATGGTCCCTAGTTGAACACGTCATTCCGTCTTTCTGCATCCCATCGCTAGAGAGATAATTCCCGAGGGTGTGTATCAACTAGAAGACGCAAACCCTAGCCTCCGTCTCCCGGATCTCTAAAGATCATCTCCAATGGAGTCAGGTACGCTTCCGCTCAGTTAATTCTCTAGATAATTTCAATATGAAGATTAAAGTATTATCGGATTTATTCCAACAATTGGTATCAGAGACTTCTTCATATTGAATTATTTGGAGTTTTTCATACTTTTGTTTCAATCTTAAATGATTGTTTTTTGAAATTTTTTTTGTTGTGAAATCTGCCAATCAAGCGGAATTAGGGTATTTTTTTTAATCGGCAGATCATGACCAAATTGAAATCGGCGAATAATAAGATGATTCAACAATACGATTATGGGGGTGTTTGGAACCGCTTTTAGAAACTGATTCTGCTCTCCCAAAGAGCACTTTGAAGCAGAATCAGTTTTGAAGGTGTTTGGATCTGATTTTAAAAGTGATTTTAAATGACTGAAAAATCAGATTTGTAGAATCTGGGTAGGAACAGCTTCTCCAAAACAGCTTCTTCAAATTTTATTCATTAAATGCCCTCACTCCATATCACGATGCACGCCACATCGAATTAGGGCCTGCAACTGCTGCGAGAGCTTGGCTTCTTCTCCAGCCAGCTCTTCTCTTCCGGCTCTTCTTCTCCGATCAACAGCCCAGGTAAATCACCACCCAGCTTCTTTTCTATTCTCGTTATTCTAGAGTTTTGTTTTGTTTTTTAATTTTCTCTTAATTAATATCTTTATTCAATTATTATTGGGTTTGTCCTCATCTTCTCTTCACCCACCAGCTATCTTTTACGGAGTATTTTCTTTTAACAATTAACAGCCTATTGCAATGAGAATTCTAAACCCACTAGCATATTTTATTTGGAATACATTATCTAAGTAATTTTATTTTTTCATATATCTTTATATTACTATATTACAATGAATGCCTACTATGTGTCTTTTGGTAAATTTACACCAAAATCAGTTTTTAAAAGCAAGTTATCCAAACACTCTAAACTGATTCTCTATTACATACAGCAGAATCTATACCAAACACTCCAGACAGAATCACTTTTTCAGAGAGCAGAAAATTCTGATTTTGATTCTCACTTAAAAAAAGAAGCAGAATCAGAATCAGTTCCAAACACCCCTATGTTTAATTGGGTGTTGTTCTTCTTTTCTGTGCTGTCGGATGTTGACAGCGGCAAAAATTAAGATTTTCTTTCGGTTTAGTTGCCTTAATTTAAGTCGGATTTGCACTGTTGGGTTGTTAAGTTATCTTTTACTCCGTATGATTCTATTGCAATTTACAGTAGGTTCGTAATTGAACAATATGTAGTATATTTTTGTTCTTTATGTCTTTCGGCACAGTTAAAAATTCATCATTTTGGCTTTATCGAATTAAGGTGTCGATCAATCTTATGATTGATATTTTGGAAGATGAATCATCCCTTGTTTTGCTTTTGATTTGAATAAATAGCAAGTGATAATACTAAAATCACTTAATACGGAGTGTTATAAAAAAAAGGATGACACCCCATCCCTGAGGGCCCCCCAACACCGACCGGACGGCACGATGGGAGGATGTAAATTGGACTATAATCACAATCTGGCAGATAGAGAGTGGGGCTCTGTCCCCGGTACTTACAGAGGCCCTATGCATTTTTCAGCATAGTAACTCCTCATCATAGTTGCCGGGATTCGGACCCGAGACCTAACCCTTGTGGCACTCCCTCACTACCAGTTGAGCTACGCCCACCGGTGATACGGAGTGTTATCAAGATATCATTGGATGCGGATAGCCTTGATTAGGGATGGCAATTGGGCGAGGTTGGGGCGGGGGTTCACTCCCCCATCCCCCGCCCCGTGTCTAAAAAATCGCCCCCACCCCCGCCCCATCCCCCGACCCGCTAGACCCACGGGTACCCAACGGGGAAGTACTCGTCAAAAATTAACATCATTTTAGACTCACAATTTTTCAAAAATTTAACAACACTTCTAGTAGCCAATTTTTTTTTACTCTTTAAGTGTCAATGTAATCTTACATCTCATTTCAAATCTAGAGCACATTATACGCGTTCTAAATTAGTATTTTTTATCAAACTCTAAATTAGCATTGATTAGCTCGATAATATTTTCTTAAACCCTGCATTCAATCAATCATGGTCATTTGACGGCATCTAGGACGACATATGATCACCAAATTTTAAGAGCCCTAACTACAATCATAAATATGACATTCAAAAGAAAAGAATTAATGCATTATAATAGTAAAGGAAAAAAACTTTCACACCGTGTCTGAGGCGTTTAAGCTAATATCACTTTATAACTTTCCCAAATTCATTTTATTTTATCTCTAAAAAAATCATTTTACTTTATGATTTTGATAAGCAATTTTACAAGATAGCTTAGTTATTAAACAAGAATTAGATAGATCCATTACGCACAATCCATTAGATAGGAAACCACTAAACCCACCGGACCACCATGCTATTTTAATTACTTCGTATTAGTATTACTATTATTATTAGTATTATTATTGAGATTATTATTATTAATTATTACGGGGGACGGGGCGGGGACGGTACGGGGGGTGCATAACCCATCACCCGCCCCATATTTTTGCGGGGAGAAAATATCTCCCCCACCCCACCACCCCCCCCCCCAACTCCCCCCACGGGGCGGTTCCCCACGGGCCCCCGCCCCCATTGCCATCCTTAGCCTTGACTCATAATGAATCATGTTTTTTGAGCTATTATATTTAAGGAATTATTGTATATAATTTTGTTCTTGATTTGGAACCAATTATTGAGTCGGCCGGAGTAGTAATTGTGTATCAAATTAAAATTTTGATTTGGTTCCTTTTTCGGCGATTCAATTTTGGAATTTTACTGGCTTTAATAATTCAGTACATATATGTGTATTACCGGTTATGGTAATTAAATACTTATATGTAATTACGGTCAACATCAATTTTGTCAGAAATACATAATTTGGATATTATGGTATTGATTATTTTGTTCGTCATTGTGTTTTGTGGGATGAAAAATATGTATTATGTGTTATGGATGCATAAATCATATTATGCGATCGCACAGCGTTTGAGTATGGATTTTACAAATTACTGCTATACATAACACATTTGCATGTGATTCGGAGAAATTCGCCAAATTTTATTTTTCAGTTTTTTATTATTTAATATTAGCATGTCTAATATTTGGGTTGGTTAATTGACACAACATGCTGCCAAAGTAGCTTTTCTTGTTGAAATTAATTAACTCATATATTGAGATGACTGTGTACTTCTTATTTCATGCGGATAATAATCGGCCCAAAGGAAGGTTATTATTTGGCCGAAATTTAAGTACATTTGTGATAATAAAATTTGTGATAATTATGAGGTTTTCATGTGAATATTAGTATTTGACATGATTTTATTATCAAAATTTCATTATTACATTAAGAGTACCACTTGCAAGTTTAATTCGTGTCCAAAGACATGATTGGATGTTGCGCTAGGTATCTTGTGATGAGGATTGCTAATATTTAAATTTAAAACTAATTATCAAGATTATTTCAGTTTTTAGAGCATATAACTTATATTATTTTTTGTTCTCTTCCAGTCAATAATTCTGCTGCTACAATATCTGCTAATATTAATAGCATCCCTGTGCTTAACGGCACGAATTTTAAGGAATGGAAAGAGAACGTTATGATTGTTCTCGGTTGCATGGATCTAGACCTTGCACTCCGGACTGAGAAACCCGCCGCTCTTAAGGACTCATCTACCCTTGATGAAAAGAGGGAGATGGAGAGGTGGGAACGCTCAAACCACATGAGTCTGATGATCATGAAACGTGCAATTCCAGAATCATTCAGGGGCACTATGTCTGATGAGGATGATGCCAAATCGTTCCTTGCCGAACTTGAAAAGTGTTTTGCTAAAAACGAAAAGGCGGAAACTAGTACTCTTTTGAGCACTCTTGTTTCCATGAAGTACAAAGGCAAAGGGAACATAAGGGAGTACATTTTGGAAATGTCTCATATTGCTTCAAAACTAAGTGCACTTAAGCTTATTTTACCTGAGGAATTGCTTGTGTATTTAGTTTTGATCTCTCTTCCTTCTCAATTTAATCAATTTAAAGTCAGTTACAACTGCATTAAGGAGAAATGGTCTCTCAATGAGCTCATTTCTCATTGTGTTCAAGAGGAAGAGAGAATAAAGCAAGATAAGACTGAAAGTGCTCATTTGGCATCTACCTCTAAGGGCAGCAAGAAAAGGAAATTTAAGGAAGCTATAAATTCAAGGCCTCAAAGAAAGCATCATAAGGAAACTAAGGAAGAAACTAAGGAATCTGGATGCTTCTTTTGCAAAGGGACTAATCACAAGAAAAAGAACTGCACTAAGTACCACGCCTGGCGTGCGAAAAAGGGTATGTCTCTTGCTCTTGTTTGTTCTGAGGTTAATTTAATTTCGGTACCCAAGGACACTTGGTGGGTAGATTCCGGTGCTACTACTCACATAAGTGTATCCATGCAGGGTTGCCTGAGCTGCCGAAAACCAATTGATGGTGAAAGATACATCTATGTCGGTGATGGCAAGCGGGTTGAAGTTGAGGCTATCGGTGTTTTTAGATTATTATTAAAGACTAGTTTTTATTTGGATTTGAAAGAGACATTTATTGTACCGTCATTTAGGCGGAATTTAATTTCTATTTCTGCATTGGACAAATTTGGTTATTCTTGTTCATTTGGAAATAGTCAGTTCAGTCTATTTCAAGTTTCAAAGCTTATTGGTACCGGTCTTTTATCAGTTTATGATAATCTATATTCACTTGATATAATTGCCTCATACTCCCTCCGTCCCTTGAAACTTTGCTATCTTTCCTTTTTGGGACGTCCCAAAAAACTTTACCACTTTCCCTTTTAATCAATATTTTGTGGTTTCTGTTATTTCTCTCTCCTCTGCACAAACCTCAACCACACAGTTTTTACTTTATTATTCTCCGTGTCAGTCAACTTTGGCAAAGTTTTAAGGGACGGATGTAGTATAATGAAACCTTGCATGTAAGTACTCGTGGTACTAAAAGAAAATTAACCAATGAGAATTCATTATCACTTTGGCACAAGCGTTTAGGACATTTCTAAAGAAAGAATTCAGAGACTTGTGTCCGATGGAATTCTTGATTCTCTTGACTCCTCAAATTCGGATATTTGTGTTGAGTGTGTTAAGGGAAAACAAACGAACAAAAGGAGATTAGGTGCCGAGAGAGCTTCAGATCTATTAGAATTGATATATACAGACATTTGTGGACCATTCCCTACACCATGTAGAAATGGTCAAACATATTTTATCACATTCATAGATGATTACTCTCGTTATGGTTACCTTTATCTCATTCATGAAAAGTCCCAAACAATAGACGTGTTCAAATCTTATAAGGCCGAAGTTGAAAATCAATTAGGCAAAAGAATTAAAACCGTTCGATTTGACCGTGGTGGTGAATACTATGGTAGATATGATGGTTCCGGTGAACAACGTCCAAGTCCATTTGCTAAATTCCTAGAGGAGTGTGGGATTGTTCCTCAGTACACTATGCCTGGAACTCCTAGCATGAATGGTGTTGCTGAGAGACGAAACCGTACATTAAAGGACATGGTTAGGAGTATGATTTGTCATACTACTTTACCGGATTCACTCTGGGGAGAGGCACTGAAAACTACAGCTTACATACTCAACAGGGTTCCCACTAAAGCTACAACTAAAACCCCTTATGAAATTTGGACTGGAAGGAAACCCAATATAAATCATTTCCATGTTTGGGGTTGTCTAGCTGAGGCAAGGCCTTATAGGCCAAATGAAAAGAAACTGGACTCTAGAACAGTTAGTAGTTATTTTGTAGGATACTCTGAGAGGTCAAGGGGGTATAAATTTTATGATTCCACTACCAGGACTATTTTTGAGATGGGAAATGCCCGGTTCTTTGAGGATATTGAGTTTGGGGGGTGGGGAGATAAGGTTAGAGATTTTGTCCTTGAGGAAGAGCATGTTACTCTTCCTTCAGTTGTCATTGAACATGATCAAGATATTTTTATTCCTAATAATGTTCAAGAAACAACTCCAATTCAGGACAATCTCAAAAACATCCCCAATCAGGTACCTGAAATTATTAATGAGGATCAAACTCAACAACCTCAAGAACCTGAGGTGCCATTAAGGAGATCCACTCGAGAGAGGAGAAGTGCAATTCCGGATGATTATATTGTATTTCTCCAAGAACATGAGGAAAATTGGGAGTTGGTGGAAGAAATAATTGTCTTCCTCCAAGAACAAGAATCAAATGTTGGTTTTGAGGAAGATGATCCAATCAACTTCCGTCAAGCCATGGAAAGTTCTAACTCTCAAGAATGGATTAATGCCATGAAAGATGAGATGAGGTCTATGAGTGACAATGACGTTTGGGAGCTAGTCTCATTGCCCGAAGGTATTAAACCCATTGGTTGTAAATGGATATTTAAAATCAAGAGGAATTCAAAGGGCAATGTTATAAGGTTTAAGGCTCGTCTTGTTGCTAAAGGCTACACTCAAAAGAAAGGAATTGACTATAAAGAGACTTTCTCTCTGGTATCTTCGAAAGACTCTTTTAGAACAATAATGGCATTAGTGGCACATTTTGATCTTGAGCTTCATCAGATGGATGTGAAAACTGCATTTCTCAATGGTGACATTGAGGAATCAATCTATATGGAGCAGCCAGAAAACTTTGTTTCGGGAGATCCAAAGAAAATGGTTTGCAAATTAAAGAAATCCATCTATGGGCTCAAACAGGCTTCTCGTCAGTGGTATCACAAGTTTCATAAAGTAATCATATCTTTTGGTTTTCAACCAAATATCAGTGATGATTGTATATATCACAAGTTCAGTGGGAGTAAACATATTTTCCTGGTTTTGTATGTTCATGACATATTGTTTGCTAGCAACGATATAGGCTTATTGCACGAAACTAAGAAATTTCTTTCAAAGAATTTTGAAATGAAAGATCTTGGTGAGGCTTCTTTTGTATTAGGAATTCAAATACACCGAGATCGCTCCAAAGGCGTTCTTGGACTCTCACAAAAGAGTTATATCGATAAGATTCTCAAAAGATTTGGCATGCAAGACTGCAAACCAGGAGATACTCCAGTTTCTAAGGGAGACAAGTTTAGTCTCATGCAGTGCCCTAAGAATGGTTTTGAATCTAAAGAAACGAGGAACATTCCTTATGCTTCGGCTATAGGAAGTTTGATGTATGCTCAGGTTTGTACAAGACCTGATTTAGCATACATTGTTGGGATGTTAGGCAGATATTTGAGCAATCCGGGAATGGACCATTGGAAAGCAGCCAAAAGGGTCATGCGGTATTTACAGAGAACAAAAGAATATATGCTCACATATCGGAGATCGGATGAGCTTGAGATCATTGGGTATACCGACTCTGATTTTGCTGGATGTCAGGATTCCTTGAAATCAACTTCGGGCTACATCTATATTCTAGCTGGAGGAGCTATCTCCTGGAGGAGTATCAAGCAGGCTCTTACAACGAATTCCACCTTGGAAGCAGAGTTTATAGCATGTTATGAGGCATCCAATCAGGCATTATGGCTGCTAGATTTTGTTAGTGGACTGCGCATAGTGGATAGCATTGAAAGACCACTTAAGCTATTGTGTGATAATAGGTCAGCAGTCCTCTACGCTAAGAACAACAGTAGTTTGACCAAGGCAAAACACATTGGGGTCAAATTTAAGGCTGTTAAGGAACGAGTACAAGAAGGAAAGTTATCTATAGAACACATTAGCACAAACTCCATGATTGCGGATCCGCTCACTAAAGGATTGCCACCCAAAGTGTATCGTGAGCATGTTGCTCAAATGGGTGTCAAATCAGTTGAAGATTATGAGTTTTAGTGGGAGTTTGTAATGTTTCTATAATTTTGGTTAATTCAGTTTTTTAAGGATATTTTCTGCAGAAATAAAGTATAAAGTATAAAGTTTAAAGTTTAAAGTTTTATGTACTCTTACAGTTACATTATTGATCTCAAGGTGGACTAGTTGGAAATAAACATTCTATTCCAGACCACACTTCATGTTATTTCCACGCTACACACCTATACTTGATCCATGTCGTTTATTATATTAATATATGTGATCATTGATGGGTCTAGTTATGTGAATATAGCAAATACTTCTTTGGTCCTATGTTGATATAGTTAATGGACCGGATTGATTAAAGATGACTACAGTTTGATAGCAAAATTCTGGAGCTTCTAAAGTAAACATACAATACTAAGGATTGTGTATACATATGTGTATGTCGTCCAAGTGGGAGATTGTTAGATTATTGGACTTATACTACATATAATATTCACAATATATTATTTATTGGGTTAATTGTATGTTATATGATATCTTATATTTAGCCCAAAAATTAGTGGTCCTATGGATATTAATTTAAGTGGGCTAATAAGTTATCTAATAAGGTATAGGGCCCAAATGTGTAGAGACCCACGGGCTTAACCTAATTAATGATGGGCTGATTAGGATTAAGCATTCTCTATAAATAGAGGGGTTATGGTCCCTAGTTGAACACGCCATTCCGTCTTTCTGCATCCCATCACTAGAGAGATAATTCCCGAAGGTGTGTATCAACTAGAAGACGCAAACCCTAGCCTCCGTCTCCCGGATCTCTAAAGATCATCTCCAATGGAGTCAGGTACGCTTCCGCTCAGTTAATTCTCTAGATAATTTCAATATGAAGATTAAAGTATTATCGGATTTATTCCAACATATACTCTCATGCATTATGATTAGAATCATTTTAAGCAGGTTATTTGAGAGTTCCTTTGTAGAGTATCAATTTTATAAGACTGGTGACGGTGGAGAGTAAAAAAACTAATAAAAAAAAAGATTAGAAATTGCTTACTTTGAACGCTGCGTCTTCAGAAGTGCATTTTTCTACTGCAAGTGTACTTCACAACAGGTTTTGGCAGGATTTCTATTGCATATTCATCAAAATTCAGTGGGTTCATCAACAACAAAAGTGCCCCTTTATTTTGACATGATTGTTGGTCATTTAGCTCTTTTATTTTAAGTGCCCCTTGGTTTATAATTTCTAAGTTCTATCTTCAACTTTTTCTCATTATAGTTTGTATTTAGCTCTTTAATTTTAAGTGCCCCTTGGTTTGTATCAATAAAAAGTTTCTCTCTTTTAATACACACAAACACAATTTCCTAATTTTTAGTGTAGAGTAAGCTCAACTTTATTTCATGTATAGTTAATTGCTATAAAGTTTGAACTATTTATGGATATTATAATTAATCAAATACTGATGGCAAAAGCCATGATTCTCATGGAATAGATAAACTCATAACTATGTGCATACGTATAAAATCAACAAAATGATATTAGAACTAACCACTTATAAAAATTCTCGGAATCTTATATTTATACACTTCATCATAATTTAGCTCCGGTCGATACGTACTCAGGTTTCTTAGTTGTACTCCAAACAAGAGGTTTTATCACTCTACCTCCATCATGAACAATTTTATTAAAGATGGAGCCTTGTGTTTTGTTAATTAAAAAATTCAGAATCTTTCATTTTTGTCAAGATTGTCAAAATCATGCTAAGACTAATGAAATGTTTGAACCCAAAAAGGATAGTAATCCATTGGAAGAAGTAATGGCATCGTTTGATCTTGCTATGAACTTGAAGTTTTATTCCCTCCAAATAAATGGTGTGTCAACAATTGTTTGCACGTAAAAGGTGTGTTTGCTAACTTTGCTTAGAATTACTTCCATAGTTGCAGTTTAAAGGGTTACAATTCCATCAAGCTTGAAGTTAGTTATGTGCGATCGACGACGAAGAAAATCTGAAAAACTACAAGTGTTGTCTTCAGGGAAATCTTCAATAATTCGTAAAATGAGTGCTTAATTATTAAAATTATTCTAATATTTGTTATTAGTATCTTCATTTTACGTCTCACGCAACGCACAAGTAGAATATATACTACTCCCTCCATCCCTAACTTTGTCTCGTTTTACTTTTTCGTATGTTCCATTAATTTTGTCTCATGCCATATGTTGGTACACGAGTTGGACGGCCTGGACTACATTCAAAAATGGTTGACCGTGGCAATCAATGACGCATTCATTAGGATTAATGCTAGCTAATTAAATCTGGGCAGTTTTATGTATATAATTAGAGTAGTTATTGTAATTATGACATAGGTTACTCAAAGGGCTGACCAGAATTGATGATGCAATAATGACGATATTGATGTCGTCGTAACGGTCGGACATGTCGTCGTAACGGTCGGTACATGTCGTCAACGGACAAAAGTGCATTAAATGTATCTCTTATAAATATCTAGAGGCTCTATGTAATCAGCACATATTCAGTGACAAATGCACATACACTCAGTCTCTACATTGTAATTCAAAAGCATATTGTGAAGATCCTTCTCCTTGATCATCATATATCAAATTCCTTTCTTTACCAATTCTTCCATAGTTGATTCTATATTGCTTGATTCCCATTTTTTACTCCGTTCTAGGATAAATTATTTCTTGTTTAAACAATTGGCGCCGTCTGTGGGAAATTCTTGCAAAACAAGAATCAACGATGGCCGGAAGCTCTAATCCCCTATTTGATGAGATGCAAGCACAGCTTGATGCTGTCCGAAAGGAGCTCCGCGCGGCCAAAAGTGCCGAAGCGGCACAATTGGAAGCCCTCCGGGAAGAATTACGTGCGGCCAAGGAGGCTAACCAGTCAAAGGAGGATACTCAAATCCAGCTAGAGGCCGTAAGAGAGGAAATGCGTCAACGAATAACTCTTCTCCAAGGAGAAAATGACGCCTTGAGATCCCAAGTTCAATCGGTGGCGTCCATAGCGTCAAAATCACGAAAAGGGAAAGAGGTAATGACTGCCGCATCAAAGTCGGGCGTAGATTCCATACTAGTCCCAACCTCAACAGTCACATTCACGTCCGAAGCTTTCCCGGGACTTTCAAACTTTGATCCATATGCTAAAGGTGTCCCGGCGATTTCGCAGCTCATACCCTATGAACCTCTTGTCCCAGCGACAACTCCAGAAGCAAGCATCCCCATGTGCTTCTTCCCGGATTCATTACGAACCAAAACGACGACATCGGGGATGCAGACCGTCAACCAGCAGATGCCGATCCCTATCCCTGTGTCGACTTCAACGGAGCCCTTCATTCCCCTTTCGCTGGCCGGCTCAACAGGTGGAAGGGGGCAATCATCTCGTCCTGCACCACTCCCCAGAAGGAACGTGTTTCGCAATTTGTTTGCTGAACATCAGGGGCGACACATTTCCGAGCGTGACGACATGATCGGAGATGTCGACTTCGGCAATCCAAGACGACAGCGTCCGGAAACTATCGACATACGCTCACCATCCGAACAGAGGGTGTCTCAGGCGGGAGCGTATTTTGGAGCAGGAGGTCCGCAAATGCATATGGACATGGCGGAACCATTGGCCTTTATCATGCAAGAGTTGAAAGAGTTGCGAGAAAAGTATAATGGCATGCCAGGGGTTCCTCGTCCTCTTGACATGGCAACACGAACCTGCTATGCGGATTCTCCATTCGGACGACATATAACAGACGTCGAGATCCCAAAGAAATTCGCAGTCCCATCTATGAAATTGTTTGACGGAACCACAGATCCGGTAGAGCACGTCGCTCAGTACAAGCAACGGATGTTAGCTATTTCTGTCAGGCCGGATCAACGGGAGGCGTGCATGTGCAAGGCGTTCGGGACGACACTGACGGGTCCAGCGTTAACATGGTTCGTCAACTTGCCGAATGGCGGCATCGACTCCTTCGCAGATCTGGTTAACTTGTTCGCCCAACAGTTTGCAAGTAGTCGAGCATTGGAGAAGCAAACCAGTGACTTATATCGTGTAGTACAAAGACATAACGAATCCTTACGTGACTACTTGCATCGATTCAACAAGGAGAAAGTGTCGATTCCGAGATGTGACACGCCAACGGCTGTAGAGGCTTTCAGAAGAGGATTGCGCGAAGACTCAGACTTGTATAGGGAATTGACCAAATTTCCTTGCAAGACGTTTGAAGATGTCCAAGCCATGACTTTGGCTTTCATCCGGCTCAAAGAGGACGAACAGTCCCGACTTCGTGCGATTGGCTATGAAGGAGGACAGCGGAAGGCCAGCACCTCCAGAAAACATGATTATAGGGCTGGAAAGCCTTATGCGAAGAATGAAGAACGGCCCGTTGCTTCGACGACTTCCTGGCCCGACGATCCCAGTCTGCCGCATGCCATTCCGACATATTGTTTTAATGTCACTACAACTGGACTTATCAATGCTTTGGACAAATTGGGAGACAAGGTTCGGTGGCCCAGAAAGTCTGACAAATCCAATGGGCGACGGGATCCTAGCAAGAAATGTGACTTCCATGACGACATCGGGCATAACACAGAGGATTGCGTCGCTTTGAGGAAGGAGGTCGCCTACCTCCTGAGGAACGGTTATCTGACGGAAATCATGTCGGAGCAAACGAAATCAATGTTAAAAAGAGATCCGAAGTCATCCACAGAACATCAACGACCTCCTACACCTACAACACCTCAAAAGGTAGTCAATTTCATTAACGGTGGTTCTGATTTATGCGGACTAACCTATTCTGCAGCCAAGAGACAAGCTCGGGAGTACTCCCGAGACAAGTCGTCGCAGGTAAACCAAGTCGTCCGAAAAGGTGAAGCTTGGAAAAATGCGCTCATCACCTTCGACGAATCAGATCATACAAGTCCTACTGATGCCCATCATGACACTCTGGTCATTGCCCTTAGGGTGGCCAATTGTGAAGTGAGACGAGTTTTGGTGGACAACGGTAGCACCGCCAACATCACCACTTTGAAGACGTTGAAGCAGATGGGGTACAAGGAAGAAGACTTAGCCGCTTCCGGCTCCACTCTTGTCGGATTCAACGGCGAGCCCAGTCAAACAATCGGTAATGTATCTTTACCCGTACATGCTGTTGGTCTTAATTTGCAGGTAAAGTTTGATGTTGTCCAAGACTTGCCCGCTTACAACATGATTCTTGGAACGCCTTGGCTTCACCAAATGGGAGCGATCCCTTCAACGTACCATCAAGTGGTAAAAGTTCCAACACCGTGGGGGGTGCAGTCCATTCAGGGTGATAGGGCCACCGCCAAGTCGTGTTACCAAACAGCGATGAAGTCGACCGCTTCTGCTACAACATCCGCATAGCAATCAAAGGGCGACTTTATTCCGGTTGGGGAAAATGACAGCGAAACAAAGGACATCAGCATTGATTCAAACCATCCGGATAGAGTCGTCCGCATCGGGGGCAGCATGCCGATTCAATTGGAAGAAGAACTTGTAATCCTACTCAAAGAACATAAAGACGTCTTCGCTTGGGATCATGACGACATGACGGGTATCGATCCGCAAGTAATCACCCACAAACTTAATGTCAACCCCTTACACAGGCCTATCCAGCAAAAGAGGCGACGCTTCGCCAGAGAAAGAAACGACATCATAAATCAAGAAGTCGAGACGCTATTGCGCACAGGTAAAATTCGTGAGGTAAAATATCCAACTTGGCTTGCTAATGTCGTTGTAGTGCAGAAAAAGAAGGGACATCAGAAAGGCCAAAAACCTAAGTGGAGAGTATGCGTCGACTTCACCGATTTAAACAAAGCATGCCCGAAAGACATGTTTCCAATGCCTCATATTGATGTGCTCGCGGACGCCACAGCAGGACATGAAATACTGACATTCATGGACGCTTTTAGTGGCTATCACCAAATCCAACTGCACCACGACGACCAGGAGAAAACCGCATTCATTACAGAGACAGGTACGTACTGTTATGTTGTTATGCCTTTTGGTTTGAAAAATGCAGGAGCTACCTTCCAAAGGTTGGTAACAATGATATTCAAAGATCAAATCGGGAGAACTATGGAGGTATACATCGACGACATGTTGGTTAAATCCAAAAAAGCGTCAGACCACGTCGAACACCTGCGGGAATCATTCCTGAAGTTACGAGAGTACAACCTGAAGCTTAACCCAGCCAAGTGCACGTTCGGGGTGTCGTCGGGAGAATTCCTGGGCTACATTGTCAGCGAAAGAGGAATAGAAGCTAGTCCAGGACAAGTTCGAGCCATACTAGAGATTGAATCCCCAAAGTCAATCAAAGATGTTCAAAAACTGGCAGGACGAGTTGCGGCACTCAATAGATTCATATCAAAGTCGTCAGACAGGTGTCGACTTTTCTATGATGTCCTCAGAAAAAATAAAAAGTTCGAATGGACAGAACAGCACGAAAAAGCCCTACAACAACTGAAGGAATACATGACAACACCGCCACTACTGACCAAACCCAAAGATGGCGATGAGTTACAGTTGTATCTTGCAGTATCAGAGCATGCCGTCAGTGCAGTACTTACGCGGGAAGAAGACGGCCAACAGACGCCGGTTTACTATATGAGTAAGTCGTTAAATGGGCCGGAAACCAGGTACGCACTCTTAGAGAAATTAGTACTTGCACTAGTGACAGCATCAATTAAATTACGTCCTTACTTTGAATCGCATTCTATTTGTGTCCGCACTAACTATCCCATGAAGTCTATCATGAGGAAACCGGAACTCACAGGTAGGATGATCAAGTGGTCTATGCAACTGGGGGCATACGACATCACGTATGAACCCAGGACAGCTTTGAAATCACAAGCTCTAGCTGATTTTGTGGCGGACTTCAGTCCAAAACTACAAGTAGAAGCAGAAAGAGAGATATGTTTGTTAATTGGAGACCAACGTCAACAAAAATGGACTCTGCACACCGATGGAGCCTCTAACATGCATGGGGCCGGACTTGGAGTTGTACTGCAGTCGCCACAAGGGGGCAATATAGTACAAGCTGTCAGATGTGATTTCAACGCAACAAACAACGAAGCGGAGTATGAAGCACTAATTTTCGGGCTGAACTTAGCTCAAAACATGGGCATAAAAGCAATCGAGGTAAAATGCGACTCCCTTTTAATTATTAATCAAGCCAACGGAGTTTATGCAGCTAAAGATCCAAAGATGTCGGCATACCTACAAATCGTCACCAACTTAGCCAACACCTTTGACGACATCACCTTTGAGCAAATCCCAAGAGAAGAAAACGTCCAAGCCGACGCCTTAGCAGCAATCGGATCATGCCTGGGGGCAGGAAACATTGATAACATACCACTTGTCCACGTGATAGAACCAGCCATTGAAAGGACGGAAGTGGTCAACATCATTGAGTCAACCGCAGACAACGACTGGATGCAGCCATACATAGATTACCTAAAACACAACATCTTGCCAAATGACAAAAGAGAAGCAAGGGCACTCCTGTCAAAGGTAACAAAGTTTTTATTAATTGATGATGTTTTGTTTAAACGTTCGAAGGCAGGACCATATCAGAGATGTTTAGCCCCACACGAAGCTGTCAAAGTACTGAGAAGTCTCCATGAAGGAGAATGTGGCAACCACGCGGCAGGAAGGAGTTTATCAAACAAAGCCTTGAGATTTGGCTATTATTGGCCAACGATGAGACATGACGCCATTGCATACACTCAAGCTTGTCAACCGTGCCAAAAGCATGCACCAGTGCAACACCAACATGCAGAAGCACTACATCCTGTCTTATCTCCATGGCCCTTCATGAAGTGGGGAATGGACATTGTAGGTAAGCTGCCCGAAGCACCCGGACAAAAGGTCTACATGTTGGCAATGACTGACTACTTCTCAAAGTGGATTGAAGCTGAACCTTTCCGACAAATCCGTGACACTCAGGTAATATCTTTTATCAAAAGAAATATTTTGAGCAGGTTTGGCATCCCGTCAGAGATCGTCTGCGACAATGGGTCACAGTTCATCAGCATCAAAACCAGACGATTCTGTGAGAAGTACAACATCAAACTAGAGATGTCGACACCACGCTATCCACAATCAAATGGACAAGCTGAGTCAAGCAACAAGATCATCATCTCGAATCTAAAGAAGCGGTTGGAGAAAGCACAAGGAAAGTGGGCCGACGAGTTACCACTCATATTATGGGCAGACCGGACAACACCAAAAAATGCCACAGGACAAACGCCTTTTTCGTTGGTGTACGGATGCGAAGCTGTCATTCCAGTCGAAGTCGAAGTGCCAACATCCAGGTAGGGACTTATCACAGAAGAAGCAAACAACGCAGAATTGGTTCATGATCTTGACACTATCGACGAATTGAGAGAGAGAGCTAAAGTACAAATGGCAGCCTACCAACAAAGGGTAGCAAGAAGCTATAACAAAGATGTCCGAGCCAAAGTATTCAAGAAAGGCGATTGGGTACTCAGAAAGTCCTTTGGCAACGAAGCAAGTGGAAAATTCAGTCCCAACTGGGAAGGCCCATACCAGATTACAGATGTCGTCGGGCAGGGGGCATACCGTCTGACAAGCATTGACGGTAAACAAGTTCTAAGGAGCTGGAATGCGGTACACCTAAAGCCTTTCCACTTCTAATATAATTATCTACTTCAGTATTCATCTTATGTTTTTTGAATCTCTTACTAACTTGACCGTCGGAGGGCCGTTGGCCTCAAGCCAACGGCCAACAAAGTATTTGACTGAGTCACAGATTGACAACATCAAGCTAAATCCTATATGACAATATCATATAGACTTCTGATGACGACATTAAGTCAGCTGAATTAAGGTACTCGACAATAGTTTGCTCTTATTTTATTTCAATGTCATCTTAATCTACTCACCCGCCTTGACAAATGAAAATACATCTGACTCCTTAGAGATAATACACACCTACAATCAATGTAAAAGTATTAGACTATTTTACTTTAGCATCGGAGGGCCGTTGGCTTCAAGCCAACGGCCAGGCCCCAGCTACGTGTCTGATTAGGTTGCAGACTAAAGGCGTCAAACCATTTACTGATAGACAACATGAAACTGAGTGACGGATGACGACATCAAACTGAAAGTTAGACGACGACATCATTTAACTGCAAGTCAACCGAGATCGCCTAATCAGAACAGGAAAGTAAATAAAGAAGCAAAGGATCAGGACACTATCAGGGTATGCAACAGCAATTTACTCACCCCTCACTTTAATATTTTCTTCATTTATTCACTTTGACAAGTGCAAAATTACTTTTGACACATTAAGTTGAAATGACGTGAATTTGACTAAGTAGTTTCGCAATGTTGAGGACTAATTTTTTATACATACCTATTCACAATTACTGACTTGAGCATCGGAGGGCCGTTGGCTTTTAGCCAACAGCCGACGTTAGCGAAATATTTATTGCACAGGTACAGTCAAGAATTGACGATGACGGAATCCTAACATACAAAGCCTTACAACACGTCAAGACACAATTGACGGGGGGCTTACAGAATTTTAGGGGAAGAAGTGGGGTTTTCATGTACGCTAAACATGAGTATAAACACCACCGATTCTCCACAATGTTTTGGCCAAAACAACAGACAGATCATACATCACAAATGGTGACAACATCAAAGTCAGACAAACACAAAGCAACAACAGTACACGTACAAATGACATCGTCATGTGGAACAACAACCACATCCAAAACTACAAAAATACGCAACAGAAGCGTGACAACATTAGCTCCAAAACATAAGGAGACACTACGAACGACATAAACACTCATGTTGACAATATTGATAAAATTACAAACAAAACGTTATTCAAAGTTTTTGCAGGTTATGGACTATGTTCACACAACACAACTCGTCATCTTTAACGACGGGTGATGTTCCCTTTTCCAACTGGAACGTCGACATCAACATGAGAGATGATTCAAATTTCCGTCATCTATTTGTCAGCACAACTCTGAACGGAAAGGGACAAAATTTTAGCTCATTGTTTCGGTCAAGATGACGGATCAGATCAGAGGTTATTCGAAAGAAGGGCGGAAACATTTCGTCAAAGAGTTGATCAACATGTCATGATGGGATAAGTCAAGGTGCGAACGGTACTTTCAAATTTTCGAAAAGTTGTTGCTGAATATATCGACATGAGTATCATTCGCCTCAACTTCTCGAAAAGGGGGCAATTGTTGGTACACGAGTTGGACGGCCTGGACTACATTCAAAAATGGTTGACCGTGGCAATCAATGACGCATTCATTAGGATTAATGCTAGCTAATTAAATCTGGGCAGTTTTATGTATATAATTAGAGTAGTTATTGTAATTATGACATAGGTTACTCAAAGGGCTGACCAGAATTGATGATGCAATAATGACGATATTGATGTCGTCGTAACGGTCGGACATGTCGTCGTAACGGTCGGTACATGTCGTCAACGGACAAAAGTGCATTAAATGTATCTCTTATAAATATCTAGAGGCTCTATGTAATCAGCACATATTCAGTGACAAATGCACATACACTCAGTCTCTACATTGTAATTCAAAAGCATATTGTGAAGATCCTTCTCCTTGATCATCATATATCAAATTCCTTTCTTTACCAATTCTTCCATAGTTGATTCTATATTGCTTGATTCCCATTTTTTACTCCGTTCTAGGATAAATTATTTCTTGTTTAAACACCATATTTGGTCATATTGAGTGGTTAGAATTTATTCTTACTTTATTTACACTTTTTCAATTCAATACCAACTACACAATTCTACTTTTTCTTAAAAACCACACTACACCCCTTTGTCCCAAACTTAGGGGGACGGAGGTAGTAGTAGTCTAGTAGTACCCTTGTATGCAGGGGCGGAACCACAAAAATGTGTGAGAGGGTCGGAATTTAATTATATACAGTATGAAAATGATGGATAGTTATTATACAATATTTGAGTTAAATGTTTCATATGTATGTAGCTGAGATAAATGGTAGTTTAATGAGCATTTTTTGGTTAGTTTATTGATATATATGTAATGTATCATAATGGTCACACAACTAATGGCTGAATAAGGTGTTTTATTTTTAAATTTAAGAATATAGTCAATGTCACACATCAAATTTTGCTTATTTCAAGTTAAGATGATGCTGATTTTTCCAGAAGTCATAACTTTTTACTCGTAATGAGTTACAGGACCCATAATATATCAAATCGAAGGTATTTCAGAGCTTTACATTCTTGAACTTTTAGCGGGGTCATCTGACCACCCTGACCCCCCGGCTCCGCCCCTGCTTGTATGTACTGTCTAAGAATTTATGATTCCCTCCTCATCATGACATCATCCACATATAGTATTCACATAATCATTAGTCAATTATTATTCAATATAATAAGCATAGCCGGTCATGTCTACTTTTGGGCTCATGGGTGATATATACTACCTTGGGCTTAGTGCATATTTGGTAGTGCATATACTACCTTCTAACTGTTGTATTATTAAAAAAATTAATGTCTCTGAAAGCTACTAGTTGTTTGTTTGTCATGACAATTCTTAAGAACTTTTTTGAAAATAAAAGTTCTTTTTTGAGAAGCTACACTAGGTAGTATATGAGAAAAGTCAGTGGCTTTTAGTACTAATTAGTGACAATAGCTTGTATATCAAACAGAACTAAATCAAATAGACAGCTCTTTATCAAACATTTATGACTTTTTCCTTTTAAATCTTTACATTCACTAAAAGTAAGCAGTTACTGAAAAACTCACAAAAGTATCATTTCAACTAGTTGCGTCAAACATACCCTTATTTCCAAGATAGACACTAAATTATGCTTACTTCAAATAATAATTATAATCACTATCTAATAAAGATTATAAAAGAAAGATGAAACTCACATTATTATTATTATTATTTGAATTGTATATTTGAGCAAAAGTAACATCATGAGTATCAGAAAAAAGCATTAGTTCAAAACATTTCTCGCATAATACTGTGAAGCAAAATTATCAAGAATTGCTTCATAATCAATCTTCACAAAATCCCATGCTCAATGCTTAAAATTGCCAATCCATTAATCTGTTTTTAGACATTGTCGATCCTAGATAATTGGAATGAGATTTAGGAATTAAAAGGCATGGGCTGCTCAAACACAATAGTATATATTGGTGATATTGTAATTAAAAGGAATAAAAAGCCTTAAAGGTTAAAAAGATGTGAAGAGACTACTTGTCTTTATTGATTCAATAACATATGTGTTGACCTGCAACCAGATATACTCAAAAATCAAAATCAAATGTATATTCTTTTTTAATCTTATCTGAGCGGATCCGATCAAGACTTTTTATTTTTTTCGGACCTGGGCCGAAGCCCCCCCCCCCCCCCCCCCCCACAGAGTTGGCCGTGATAATTAATAAGGTTGCTTGTTAAGCCAACGATCGTTATTGATGAAGTCAATGCTGATGAAGTGATTAACCATTTTTGGACTCAATTGTGATGCCCATGAGACTCTTTTTGAAGTATCTGACCCTGGCCCATTGCAGTTCACCTCTGCATATGTTAATTGTTTCCTAGATAATGATAGCCATGAGGCTTATTAGTTTTGTGTGCGCACACATATAAATTTGAGGAGGCTTTGTGCTTTAAAAAGAAGCCCATCCAAACAACGTGAAAGTTCAGCATATCTTTTAGATATGATTATATGTTCCAAATATTACCATGCTAATTTTTAAAAAATAAAGCTCCAAAGTTGTTTTTAGAAAGATAAAATTGAATATATTTAATTCCTCTGTCCCGTAACTTTATCATCTTTAAATTTTTTGTTCAACCATATTATGTTTTGACCAATGATATTGTTGTATAGGAAATTAGTAGAATAAATTTCTTATATAAGACTAAAACATAAACAAATTGCACATATAGGACTATGGTTGTTTTCTTCATAAAATAAGACTTATTCACTTCTAATAAGGAAAATTTATATTTTTAATAGGATCTAATAATCCTATTTTGGGAATAAAATACATGTGGTCCTATTTGTGCATTTTGTCTAAGTTTTAGTCCTATTTACTATTTAGTGCAATTTCTAAATATAGAAATCATAGGAAAATGTTATTTATTGAAATTTCCATAAAAGTATAAAATTTATAACTTTCATAAAATTATACTAATCAAATTCATTACCCAAAGTTTTCCATGATCGTCTTAAAAAGTAAAAAATGGCAAAGTTTTTGGGGACAAATGTAGTATGTATTAATATTTTCAATGGAAATTGCCCTAAATAGAAGTAAATAAAGTTTGGAATTCCAAAATAGTGCGTACTATTATGTTTTTCTTCCCGAAATAAGAGTTGTTACTGCCACATATGAAAAATAATGTCATAATTGAAAAATAATGTCATTAATTATAATAAATACTACCATGTTAAATGCAATGTAAACTATTTGGCAGTCACGCATACAAGATGGTTATAAATACTATCATGTTAGTCTTATTTCAGGAATAAAAACATAGTAGTCTTATTTTGGATTTCCAAAGTCCATGTACTCCTATATATTTTGGGAAATCTCCCTATTTTCAAAGTTTTAGCAGTTGTGAAGTGAGACTCACTTTTTTAACACTTCCAAAATGCCCTAATTAAGAGATGATGATGCATGTTTGTGGGTGTGTGAAGCAAAGTGAACAAATTTTTTAGTGTTATAATATTAGCAGCGGCTTACTCAAAACCTTTGTAGTTCCACGCATCCCAGCCTTCAGGAACAATGATATCGGAGAGGAATGAATTAAAGAAAATGGTTGTAGAATAACCTCTCCATGCTCTTCCTAAGATAGCCATTCCATTCCCAACCACATCGCAATTCTTGAAAACAAATGCATTGCTATCGTAGGCACCCGACCTTCCTTGTGCAGTTATGGACCCTATAGTACCTTCTCCAAGTGACCCAACATTCACCACTATTTTACAATCCTAAAAATATGAAATCAAATAAACAACCATAATAACATCTAAGCAAGCCTTGTTCATGAAAATTATTAGGAGTGCCTAACATAAATTGGAATATACTTCCTCCGTTCTTTTTTAATTGCAATAGTCAACATTTCACGTTTGACAACGCACAAGTTTGACCATTAATATCTTTCATTCCTTAATAGTAAAAAATTTAAAAAATTCATATTTTGAAAATTTAGAATGAGAAGAATTTAACAATATTTTTTAAAAATTTAATTTACAATACATTAATTAATAAAATATAGTCAAAATAGAATATGTGAATAGTGTAAAAAATTCAATATTGCAATTAAAAGAGAACGGAGGTGGTATATAACGCAACATCCAAATATCAAACATCCAAATATCAACCACACTCATCTTATCACCGCTCAACATTTTATGGCACGCAACATAAGGTCATGCCTAGTTCACGTGCAATGTTTTAATAATAATATACATAATATAGTAATGGTGTATATATACTAGCGTGTAAAAAATGTAAAATGATTAAAATGATTGAAAGGCGACTGGATCCTTACCGAACCCGGTATTGGCAGGTTGACCTCTACCTCTAATTGACACAAATTATAATGTTTAGAGGTGCTTAACCTTTTATTAATGACAATAAATTTATCATTCGTAAAAAAGTGGAAAGTTGAATTTTTTAATTTATTCTTATTTAAGGGTTTTGTTGTTCTCAACTTCCCGTATGCACTCCCTCATTTCATATTATTTGTCCGAGTTAATTTTATTCAATTCAGTTCATTATTTATTTTTAAATTTTTGCATCAAACTTCTATATACTCAAATATTGTTATTGTGGTAATGATTGTTATTGTATTTTATAGGAAGATTGCTTTAAATAGGACTAAAAACATTTGTGTATTCCAAAATAGGACTAAAAATTCTCTAAAAATGATTAATTAATGTCATGTTTTGGCAGTACCGGACTTTAAACATGGAAATATTTTTCATATTTGGCATTAATTACTCCTAATTAGGTAATAAAAACATGTCAGACCTATTTTGGAATTTTCAGATGTTTTTACTCCTTTTTCGAGAATTTTCCCGATTTTATAAGCATGTAAACTTTGATTATAAATAGTCAGTTAAGTTTAAAGAGGTCCTTAATTATATCTGTCATGTTTGTTCAATTTGATTTGTGTACCAAAAACATCCCGTTCATACTGAAAACTTGCTAAAGAGATCACACTTCATTTGTTATGAATAAACTTCCTAATATTCGTCACATCACTCTCTGGGGTTACAACCGTGTGTTTGAACTTTGAAGTGGAAATTAATACGGAGTAGTTCGCATAAGTTTTGAACTTCTTCAAGTTAATTCAACTCACCCTCTCATCTTTTTTTTTTGAAAGAAAACACCTATTATTTTAATTTAACCAATACTTAGAGTTCCAACCAGCCAAAAACTCAAGATCCTTCAACTATCTTCTAACAGATTCCATCACTAAAGAAAAGTCATACAATCACACTCTGTGAGAGTCACATCCAAAGAAGCAGTACGAATCATTGACCACCAAAAGCTAAGGGCAACATAGAGTTCTTTCTAACAAAGAGCCCCCCCCCCCCCCCCCCCCCCCCCGTTGAATCGACATAGGAAAATTCACCCAAAAAGGAGCAAAATTTTTGTTGAACATACGAGAGATTTGAGACAAATATCGGTGCACCCCAAAAATATCATTAACACAAGCAAGCTGAAACATAGTACAAAGTCTGTCTAAAAACTAGAGATAAGTTTTTTTACTGTAGTGGCGTCTGGGGGAGGGGGGCTGGAGTAATCAGGGTTAAAACTCACTCCATTGAGTTTCGAACTCGAGACCTCCCGTAAGGGAGAGTGAGTCGACGACCAGTTGGGCTGGACCGCTTCCTCAAACTAGACATAAGTAAAACAAAGCATTTTTGTTTGATCGAAATCGGCTTATATTATATGTTAGATAAATTATCCCGCCCTATTATTGTTCAGGAGCCCAATGCATTACCCCATATGGAGCCCAATCAGTGAGGCCCATTTCGGTCCAACAGGCTCTTTATGGCCCATATATCTGGCTCATTAGGATTGATTTTCACCCTCTCCCCCTATTCTTATTTATAGGAGGATCCCCTCCATATTTTGGGACCTTCTCTCTTCTTCTCCACCACCCTCTATCTCTCTAGATGAACACCTAACTCCATTAATAATGGCTGATAGCCTTACTCTTATACATTGTAAATGGTGAGGAGAAACTAATAAAATGAGAGTGACTTGGACATTAACCTGAAAAGTCATGTGATTTTCACTCTTTCGGATTTCCACGTTAAAACAGAGTGTTCATCCAGATTTTATACATTCATTTACGATTTCATGTTGGATTAGTTTCAACACTCGCTCCGTTTGTGAGAATCTAGATAAAAAATATCCATGGGTTCTTGATTCTACAAAAACTTTGATACCAAGTGAAGTGATTTTGAGCGAAAAACGAAGAGAAGAAGCCATGAAATCTGAAATTTCAGACCAGAGCCAAGATTTATCAGAGCAACCGTCCCCGCTGGCGTGGATCCACTGGCGAAGTTCGGTGCACCAGGAGAAGTGCAGCCAACATAGAGCCAACCGTAACCCCGAGACTTGCCATTAGGGTGCGCCACCGACTGTTTTTCCAGATCCAGGGAAGGCAAACCTCACTGTTTTTTCTCCTAAACACAATGTGTAAGGGCATGGTAACACTGAAGTGCGATGGTGGCCGGAGATAACCAGACCCAGACTGACCAAGGTCCTAACAGGTGTTGTTCGTAGTGGCTCTGGCACTTCGCCGCTCGCCATCCATGTTGCATCTCTCTTGCTCCGTCGAAAACTCAGAGAAAATCAGTTGGTTGCAGCTTGCCTCTGTTGTCATTGCAGCTCGACCTCAAGCCTTGTGAATTTCCGCTATTGATGGTTGTTCAAGAATCAAGGTCTTGGCCCACGACTCGAGGAGCAGCAACCTCTAAGGGTTCCACTCCATCTCCAACGTTGATCCTATCCAAGGGCACCCTGACCAGCGTTGCACCCTGACCATCCAATCCATTTACTTTTTATTAAAATGCTCCATGTTAGGTAGTAGTATTGTGTTATTATTTGTCCATCACCATTATTTATTAGGGATTAAAATCTCCCAAAGTGAATATTGTCGAGCAAAGCTCCAGTGATGAGTACCCACCGACATTTTATACTGTCGAGCAAAGCTCCATGATGAGCCGGATGCTCCATCCCGATTAGCTTTAATTAGTGATCGGAGCGTCTTTGAAAGGCATTGCGCCGAAGATGCATTTAAATCTAGGATCCACCCATGGTCCCACACAACACCAAGTGTCAGGTTGACGATCGTACCCTAGTACTGTCTATGCCGCTAGGCGCGAAGCGGTCATGGCCACTCGCGGTCCATAGGGTTCGGAGGCACCAAGGCGCTCACCCTCACCTTCCCAAGGACGACATGCCTAATGAAAGGATGGGTTTCTAGTCTCGCACCCCAGAGGTTTTTTCCACGTGACTTCCGGCAACCCACTACGTGGAAAGTCACAATCCGGAACACCTAAGTGAAGACACACGCGAGCGAGAAGACTAGATGATACTGACATGAACCGTAGTGTCATTCATGAGAAAAATCGTAATCATGTATGTGTCAAAACCCATAGAAAGGAGTCCTACGGGTCGTATAATGCCCAAGCATCTAGGTCGCGTTCCGTTGGCACATCGTTCGGCAATACAGGCTCTTCTCATCTCTTATCCTAATGTCTCAAGCTCCCTGATCTTCGGCATGATGGACCCTCTCCTCTAATCCTAGTGTGGTACGAGTCCCCATTGTTCGACACGTGGGACATGTACCATAAGTCGAGGCCATCCAGCCCTCACGCCATATAGATTCACAACTGGGCTCCCCATTCCCTTCCAGGATGGCGACCACCACCACACATATAATGACCGGCCCTTCGGTGTGGCATGGTAATCTATCTGAAGACTAGTCTCATCCTCATACCTCTTGGATGAGAACCGCTACATGGATTTTCATAACCGACTCCATAGAGCTAACGTCCTCAAATCACGACTGTCCCCTTGGCAAGACATTGTTAACACTTTGATTATCGGTCTCATCCTCGTACCTCAGGGGTGGGAACCGTTGCTAGGATTTCTAGACTGGCTCCAAAGCGCTGACGTCCTTATATCACGGTCGACTACTCAGCACAGCTTGGTTAAAACTCTAAAGATTGGCCTCACACTTACACCTCATGGATGAGAACCGCTACTTAGATTATCGGACCGGCTCCATAATGCTAACATCCTTATATCACGTCCCCCCGCCCCCCCCGGTACAATGTGGTTATCATTATGAAGACAAGTCTCACCCTCGCACCTCACGAATGAGAACCGTTGCTTGGATTTTTAGACCGACAACATAGTGCCGACGTCCTCATATCATGATTCCCCCCCCCCCCCCCCCCCCCAGCGGCGGACGCAGGATTTGCCGATAGCAGGGGCGACAGTACAAGAATATACATACAAATACATATACAAAAAAATTTCGGGGTAAATATACCTAGAATTTTTTTTCGACGGAGGGGCGGCAGCCCCCATAGCCCCCATGTGTGTCCGCCACTGCCCCCCCCCCCCCCCCCCCCCGCACTGCATGGTTATCATTTTGAAGACCGGTCTCACTTGAGACCTCACGAACGACAACCGCTGCTTGGGGTTTTTGGACCGGATTCACAGCGCTGACATCCTTAAATCACAACTGGCGCCTCGGCACAACGTGGTAAACATTCTGACGACCAGTCTCCTCAAACCTCAGGAATGAGAATTGTTGCTCGGGATTTTCGGACCGGCTCCACAGCGCTGACATCTTATATCTTGAGCGGCCCCTTGATAAGGCGTGGTTATCATTCTGAAGACCTGTCTCATCCTCACACCTCATGAATGACAATCGCTGCTCAGATTTTGAGACCAACTCCACAGTGTCGACGTCCTTAAATCACGACCGCCCCTCCAGCACACTATGGTTATCACTCTAAAGATCGGTCTCATCCTCGCACCTCAGCGCTGTCATGTCCAGTTTACGATTGGGCTCAGCCATTACTTTCTAGGATGCATGGTGATCACCGCCTTATGCAGCATGTTCGGCCCCCTCAACGTCGTCGTGTTTAGTTTATGCTACACGATTGACCACACAACGCCATCGTGTGCAACTCATGGTTGTTCTTGTCCATTCCTTTAATTTCTAGGATGGTGATGTTACTTCTCCCCCCCCCCCCCCCCCTCCTTAGTGGCGGATCCCTTTGGTTCAATAGTGTTCAACTGAACACCCAAAACTTGAAAATAAAGTGGAAAAATTCTTAAGAAATTATTGTAATAATTTATACTCCGTATATTGTATTTTTATACAATATTTCTTATTCTAAACCGTATTTGCTAGTTTTTTGTAGTTCAAAAATATTACATTTCTTCAATTATTTGATCAAATAATATTATTGAGTAACATTTTAATGTTAAAATAATTTTGAACACCCTACATTTTATTGCACATTTTATTGCAAGGTCCACCACTGCCCCTCCTCCTCCTCCTCCTCTTGTGCATCTATTTATGTTCAATTAAACATTGACAAAAATAACATACTCTGCCTTATTTTTCTCTTTTTTTTACTTGACATGATCTTTCAGAAAGCAAAAATTATCTAGATTAAATTAAATATTATCGATCAATATTGAAGAGATAACTGAGGTATGGGGAAAGATGAAAATAGAAGATAAAAAGCATGCAAGGGAAAGTACGTAAAGGCCGGAAGAGAAACAATGCATCTTTTGACATGGAAAAAAATAAATTGGTACCTTATAAAGAGACTGACCACCACCAAAGATGAAGTCTATGGACCCTTCAATGATGCAATTCTTGAAGTAATGTCTTCCCTGCGCATCCAACAATGTGTCTTGCACTCCGGCGAAACCGCATTTGTAAAACGCCGTATTGTCACCGTTGATCATCGCCGCCACCGCGGGTTTCAGACGGTTGGCCTCGGCCGGCTTCGGGGGATAGTTGTAAGAATTCTGTCTCATCCATTGTTTGAGATGATTTCAAATTTTATCTTTGCCCAAGCAAACCACTTAAATTTTTTTATACTCCCTCCGTCCCGTAATTAAGTTCACAGTTTGACTTCACACAGATTAAGAAAATAAATTTGACTTTACTGTGGAGTGCACTGTTTTGCACTGTTTAAACATTGGTTGACACTGTTTAGACACTGTTTGGCACTGTTTGACACTTTTTTATGTAGATTATTTGCCAAATAAGAAAAGTTTTGAAGCGTGAAGTTAATTTCGGGACTGCCCGAAAAGGAAAGTGAGAAATTAATTTTGGGACGGAGGGAGTAGTATTTAGGAATAACTATAAATAAATTGATAACTAAACTATTCAAAAAAAACACGAGCATATTTTCATGTAAAACCTAGTTAAATTTGATTATATTAATCATCTAATTAAATGATTACGTTCCTGAAAATATGAAGTTATGGTCAGACATTATTAAAAAAACACAAACTGAAAACTTAATTAGGCCGACTTTCTTGCCTATGAACAGCTATGAGGTTGTCACCAATTCGTAAATTGTACTCCCTCCGTCCCATTTAAAGGTTCTCGTCCACTATTCGCATGGTCAACTTAAATCATTCTTAACAATTTGCTTTACATATCAAATTTTTATGAAATTAATATTTTTTTAATCAGACTTTGTATCGACTTTAATATAGTTTCTGAATATGTAAATTTTATTTACTAGAAATAATCAGAGCGTGAATAGGCATCGAGTTGTTTTATCGTCAGTCAAGCATCGTAACGCGAACCGGGAACCTCTATATGGGACTGAGGGAGTAATTTTTAAAAGTCAGATATTTTTAATCTATATATATAGGGGAGGGTTCTAGTGAGAACCCCTCTTAGAATGAGAACCCTTTTTTATATGAGAACTCTAAATCTATATATATATATATATATATATATATATATATATATATATATATATATATATATATATGTATGTATGTATGTATGTATGTATGTATGTATGTATGTGTGTGTGTGTGTGTGTGTGTGTGTACAGATAAGAGATCAAATGCAAATCATGCTTAAAATACTAACCTACAAACTCAATAATATGCAACACTTTGTACTTCAATATGCAGTACAAATAAAGTAAAGATGCACACTGTGAATTTCAATATGCAATACAAATATTATGCAACACTTTGAACTTTAATATGCAGTATAAATAATGTAAAGTTGCGCAATTTGTGACAGTTTGTAGGTTAGCATGAGAAGACTAGTTTGTATGTGATCTCACCCCTATATATATATATATATATATATATATATATATATATGTATATATATATATATATGTATGTATGTATATATATATATGTATGTATATATATATATATGTATATATATATATATGTATATATATATATATATGTATATATATATATATATATGTATATGTATATATATATATATATATATATATACCCAATAATTTGTGTTGCTTAGAAGTTAGAATCATAATTTTCCTTAACAAATTATATATATAATTTGTGTTGATTTAATAAAGAATAATAAAAAGCACAAATCATGTAAAGAGTTTAATTTGTACCACAAATTGAAGCTTTTCAACTTTGATGTTGTCCGCATTGGATGTGAATGTTGGACTTGCTACGAGTGTTTCACTATCATCCCAAACAACGATTGTCTTTCGCATCCCCGCTCCCTTGAGGTAAATGTATTGTTTGTTGCTTGGAATTGTTACCTTTTCTCTACACATCATAAAAAGATTACTAAAACAACAAACATTCATAATTTTTTTAATTACGAAAGTCTGATCTGTTCATGGGACGTTACTTCCACTAGTGGAAAAACGTCAAAGGGGCACTTCAGTTGAGGCATTTTTACGTATATATGAACGCCTCTCATTGCGGCACAACCACTAGGGGCGCATAAAAGCGTCGCGTGGAGCGCTTTTTAAACGTCTCTAATGGTGGATTTTGCACTAGTGTTCTTAAACCTTTTCATGGCATTGATCATACATTCATACAGCACTTCATTCTCAAGTAGTACGCGTGTGGTTTAATTAATTAATTAATTAAATCGGACGAGTAATTAGATCGACCTTATGATGGAGAGGTCTAAAAGGATTTGGGTAATTAAGGGATGGGGAAAGTGTCAGGCTCTCAAACTTACATAAAAGGTCAAATAAACCCTTATATAGAAGACTCTGTCCGGCCGTCGCCATTTGGGGCAGTTCTCGGTGGAATTTTTGATGAGATTTTTTGAACATTTTATTCATTAAGTCCAATTTACTCATATAGTCATACCAAATTTCAGCTACCAATTCAATCGGGAAGGCATTCAAATGAATTATTGAAGATAATTGCGCTTTTATCTTAAAGAATTCATTTGAATGTCTTTCCCATCGAAGTTTTAAACTTGAGGGATTGAATTTAAACTTGAGTCACTTGAGAAAAAGATCAGAAGTTACTAAAGTCAACGGGCTTTTAATTAATACTACGTATTTGTATATATGAAGTATAACATTCTAAAACAACTCTCGAAAATCTCTGTTCCTACTCTCGAAAAAAACATTCTAAGACAATGGATATCTGTTGGTTTTTGTTGCCTGCAATTTTGTATCCATGCAAGATAAATATTACGGAGTAATAAGTATAACTTTGATGATACAAATATCATATAAAAAACTACTCCGTAACATATGGAGTATATATATACCTGTAGGTGCCAGGCATGATCGAAATGCAAATCCAGCGGAGATTGTTGGAGGGAACTGCATCAATGGCTGATTGAATGGTTTGGAATTTTGTATGCCCTGACTGGTCAACATAGAGTATTGGGGTTGGGGAATTCAAATCTTCATAATGGAACCATGAATACGGTGGATTCCCTCCTCCATTAACTAATTGGTGGAACAAGAAAAGGAATGGCAGGATCTTGGACATGTTTAATTTCCACTGCTGCAAAGAAAAGAGTTAGAACAAAGATCTATTTATTTAGCACAAGTTTTAGAGCAAGTACCCAGCTAACAAAAGGTATATAGTTCGAAAGTCAAAGTTGATGATGATGTAAAATGAAGTCCGCAATGTACGTGCTGATTTAAAGGCGAGGTTCTCTTGATCATATTTTGACTTCGACCTATATAAACAATAATGAGAACCTGCACGGGTAACTCAGTTGGTTGAGTGCGTGGTGAGAATTTGGATCAATGAACCCTGGTTCGAGTCCCCGCAGCGACCGTGTGGAGGCCACAACCTCTCAAATGGGTTGGGCATCTGGCGTGCACGGGCATATGGGTCTACTGCCACTCCATCGACTGAGTCACCATGATTTACATCCTCCCATCTGCCCTGTCGGGGCGTGGGGGGCTCCGGTATAACACTTGATTAATTTAAAAGAATTAATAGTACTACTCATACCAACAGAGGTGCGTCTCCTTTTAAGGGGGCTAATCATCCAAGAACTCCAAAGTTAAGCGTGCTTGCACGAGAGTAGTCTTGGGATGGGTGACCCTTTGGGAAGGAGATGAGCACAAAGTCCTTTCCCAAACACTACCAACTTTTACTTTTCAAAATTACTTTTTTCTCAACACTATCAATTTTTACTACGAATCACTTTTCCCAAATTACTCCAAAAGTGTTTTTTTTAAGGAGAAGCAGTTGCAAACACTTCCTTAGTGTTTCATCTGACCACATGCGGTAGTGTAAAAGTTGGCTCAACCCGGCAATATTTAACCATTCTGTGTAGGTTCTAGTTGCGAGAATTGCGCTGGAAACTTGAGGACATGTGAAGTCAATAAATTAAGAGTTTATTCACACTTAGAGGTTTTATCCAATTATCCACTTATGAGCCCGTTTGGTGACCCCTTTTTTGGCTTATCAGGCTTATTACTCAGCTTTTTCACCAAACACGTAATTATTTATTTCGCGCGCTGAATTGTGTGATGAGCTGAAAAAGTAAGGTTATAGTTACTTTTCTGGCTTTATTGGCTGAAGTTACTGTAGAGGATCATTTTAGCTATTTTTCAAATAATTTTTTATTTTATTTATTAATAAAAAATATTTTAAATATTTTTTTTCATGAATCAGCAGAATCAGCCAATATAGCCACTTCAGCCAGAACTTCATAAATTTCATCAGAATCAGCCAATACAGCCAATTTTAGTGTTACCAAATGGACTCTCTATATGTACTCCAACTGTTATTATTTGGTGGTTGCATGGATTTTTTTTCGAAAGCTACTTTTTTTCTATTAATCATTTTATGATAAATTTTGTTACATTTCCAATGGGAATGTAGACCACCTATCACCTATGTTTTAAAAGACTTTTCTCCATAGAAATCACATAAAAGAAGTTTATTATTTTTGGCGTTAATATTAACTTCTCTTTAAAATCAAACATAATTGCATCAAACAATCAGCTTTAATCAAATAGGCACAAATATTTCCTTTAAAATCTTTTCGATCGATAAAAAATTCAAGAAAATATCTCGCGTCAGGCATACACTAAGAGCCCGTTTGGAGGCCCCTTTTTTCGACTTATCAGGCTTATCAGCCAGCTTTTTCACCAAACACGTAACTTTTACTTTCGCGCGCTGAATTGTGTAATAAGCAGAAAAAGTAAGGTTGGAGTTACTTTTCTGGCTGTTTTGGCTGAAGTTACTGTAGATGACCATTTTAGCTATTTTTACATATAATTTTTTCTTTATTTTATTAATAAAATATATTTTTAAAGTATTTTTTTATTGAATCAGCAGAATCAACCAAAACAGCCACTCCAACCAGAACTTCATAAATTTCAACAGAATCAGCCAAAACAGCCGATTTTGGTGCTACCAAACAGGCTCTAAATGTATGTTCGGCTGACTTAAAACTGATTTTTATAACTTTTTAGTAATTGAAAAGTTTATAAAATAGAAAGATTGCAACTATGTAATAAAAGCTCATGCAATGATTGATATAGCTTTTACAAATTCATAGAATGTCAAAGTAACTAGCATTTTCCCATAAATTAGTAGCTTTTACAGCTGCCCGCGACTCTGAGGGTGAAAAGTCAATTTTGAGGTTTTCACCTCCCATTTATGCCGCACCCATATACGGGTGCCAAATCGGTTACATTGCACGGTTGCACCGATGGAAAGGAAATTAGGTGCCTCATGCACGCAGTGAGCAGCCGGAAAAATGGCCGAGAGGGTTGACACTCAACCTATATATAGAATGAAAATGGTGAATCATTTTTAAACGATGTTCGAATTAAATATTTCATATGCAGTTTAGATAAATAGGCATTCGTAGCAATAAGATATATTGTCTTTGCTCTATTTTTGAATCGCGTCCCGTAAGTATCGAGTGAATTATACCCTATTTTTAAAATTAGGAAAATGGAAACTAATAATCCAAGCTTTTAGCGGCCTTTTTATAATACTCCCACCTTATTGTAATTCAGAACAAATCTAACATTTGCAGCACATCTTTATTCGCTAGTCCCTCACAGGTCAATGACCTTCTATTCCAGTTTTTTTTTTTCATTTTCTTTGCAATTCATTCAACCATAAATCTCACCTTTCACAAATCTTCTCCAAGTGATCCCGCGTATCATTTTTTTCTTTTTTCTCCCTAAAACTTTTCTCTTTTTATTGTTATCGTCTTGACTCTTTTATTTCCCTCTTTGGTCTTCTTATTTTATTTATTTTCAATTTTTTTCAATGTTTATGTATTCCATTTTCCTTCTTTTTTCTTCCCGTTTATTATTCCATTTTCATTTTTGTATATATTTTGCGATTAGTTTTTTCTTATAAAAGATCTTTCTCTCAACGTACTAATTAATTAACTTTTTTACTTTACTCTCTTTTTACTTACACTGATTTATTTTATTTTTCTTTTCTTACCTTTATTCCACCACTAATATATTTTTGAAAAAATTGCATCAAAATAAAACTAAACTAATCTCTAAATGCACAAATAGGACTATGCTATTTATCTTTCCAAAATAGAACTAAAGTACAAACTATCTTCTTATTTTACATTTCTATCATTACCGTAACTTATTAGGGTAATCATATTCTGCATTATAATAAAAAATAAAAATAATAAAAATCATTTCAATTTATAAAAATTTAGTAAAAAATAAAAAAAAAGGTTAAAACTAATAGTTTTATTTAATATTTATTTTTCTTTTTTTTCTCTTTCTACATTTTTACTATAAATAAGGTTATGTTATTACTTTTATGTTTCTATTGTTAATGAAATATGAATTACACTAAAAAAGCAAGGATAGAATTGGAAAGCTAGTCCTATTTTAAAGAATTTTGAAATTATACTCATATTCTTACAATTAAAGTTCCATTAAATACAATTTGAGGAATGTCCACTATATTTTTCTCTTTTCTAAAAAATTCAAAGAAAAAAATATAAACAAGTAGCCCGGTAAAAATTATAAAGAGACTACAACGAAGAAAAGTACATAAAAAGGAATGAAAAATTTTAGGAAGAAAAAATAAAAATCATCATATGTGGGACCATTTCGAGAAGATTTGTAGAAAGTGGGATTTATGGTTGAATGATTTTCAAAGAAAATGAAAAAACCTGAAATAACATGTCATCAATCGATCAGATACCCGCGAATGACGATGATGTGCAAAGGTTGAATTATTCGTGAATTACAATGATGAGTTGAGATTATTTTAAGAAGACCGCAATAAGGTTGGTTAATTTTTATTTTCCCTTCAAAATTTGGGGAAATAGTCTATAATATTAGTATGCATCAAATTTTGATGATTTTAAGTTTAGATAATACTGATTTTCCAGAAGTCATAGCTGAGTGGGCTATGCCCCTGCACGCATGGAGTGAGCTGAGAGGGCTGCTGCAGATGAACCTGAGAGCATCTCATGGCTTTTCCAGAAATGTGTAGGCCAGGAAAAATAAAAATATCTCATAACTTTTTTTATTTGTGCTCTAATTTATTTTATAAAAAGTTAATAACTTTTTTATTTGTACTCTAATAGAAAAAAGTTGAAATGTGACTTTTAAAGTTTTTAATTTTTCCTGGCCAATGATCAAAAAAAAAAATCCTGGCCTCCGCATTCCCGCTAGAAATATAAAGTTACTAAAACCTGGCTTTTTATTGCAACTTTTATAAAAAGTTTTAAAAAGTTTAATTTTCCAGTAATAAATCAATGTGATTCCAGAAAAATGATGTGGACTTCTAGAGCTGAGAAAATTAATGTGAAACTACGAAAATCCGACTTTACTGTGTAAGAATATTTTCTATTAAAAATTAATTTAAAAAAAATCTGAGAATATTATTGAAGTGTAATTCAAATTTCTCATGCTAAACACATACTTTTAATAATGTTCTCAGAAAACTTCTGAGAAAATTATACTTTAATAATATTCTCATATTCGCCAAAAAAAAGATCCTCAGAAAATACTTATATATACTTTCACAGTAATATTTTCACCTCTAGAAGTTCACATTTAAAAAGTTTAAAAGCCACGTATTTTATTTCCAGAAATCGTCAAGGACAAAATGATTCTAAGATTTGAAAATCTATAAATTTAGGAGAAAATGAAAACTAATAATCCAACTTTTTAGCGATCTTTTTACAATCGTCCCACATTTTCGTTATTTATGAATAATTCAACATTTCCACCTCATCTTCATTCAGTTGTCCCTGACCAGTTGATTACTTGTTATTCCAAGTTATTTTCTTATCTTTACAAACTATTATACCATAAATCTCACCTTTCACAAATATAATATTTTGCAAAGATAAGAAAATAACTTGGAATACAACCAACTTCGGGATCTTCGTTTTAGAGCCCGTTCGGTTACCTTGTTTTTCGGCTTATCAGGCTTTATCAGCCAACTTTTTCATAATACACGTTGATAGAGTATTAATTCTAGAGAGAAGTGAGAGCTAGAGAGAGAAAGTGAGTAATTATATTTCTCAACCTCCTATAACTAGCCCCAAGGGGTCTATTTATAGGAAA